TTGCCAGGATGTTTTTTCAACTGGCCAGTGTAGCCTACAGGCCTGAAATTTCCTAGTGGTCTCCTTTCCAAGAGCCAGTCCTTCAAAGTAGACCAGGTCAAGAAACAGGCACAGCAGGGATTCCAGGAATGCTGTTCATTATGGTAGGGCAGAATAGCAGACTCTTGAAAGCCAGTTCAAGTCTCTTTGCCCCACCTTATACCAAATAAAACTTTTAAAAACCTCCTGGTCCTTTCTTACCCAAATGCCCTCAAGAATACCCAGATATGCCTTTCTGTTGCTGCAGTGACCATCATAGATGGTCACCACCTGTTTTAGTTAGGGGTTCCCTGCTCTCTGGACAAAATAGTAAATCTCTCTTCTAATTCTAACATGTAGTGTTTGCTAGAGCATCCTCATGGAGAAGGTGGACCTTAAGAGACTCTTCCTCAATAAGCAATTCAGTCAGGTGTACCAAAAATATGGTCCTAATGTCCAGAAAATTATTACATGGAGAAAGACATTCTTACAGAACTGACCAAAATTCAAACAATGTCTCTGGTGGATCTTCTGGTGGATTCAAGGGGTGGTGTACTAAGACACTGTTCCTGCTGTCAGACCCATCCCTGGGGCTTTAAAAATCCTTTTTTCCTAAACCAGAGAAGATCCTACTTCTCTTTCTCCATCAACCATCACAGCAGCCCACTCTTGCCATTTCTCCCGTCTTCTCTCCCTATGTGAGGATCGTCTGCTGGAGCAAGAGGCCACCTTGGTCCTGGTGTTTCTACCACACCTGGGCCATGCAAGAACAGGCTTAGGCTGTTGGGCAATTGGCTGCACATCTGGATCGACCCTCAGTAGGCAGGCTGTGAATCATACAGGACTACACAAGGCTCGTTGACTCAATCCCTGATGTTCGGAGAGGCTCGTTCGCTAGCAAGTGTGTTTTGTGCGGAGCTTCTGACCATCTCCTGGGTCTGGAAAGTTGGAAAACAGTCTAGGTGACACTTCTCTGAGCCAAGCCAAGCTGGGGGCCTCTGAGCTTTGACTCAAGGCTAATCATAATTCCCAGTCTGGGAAAATCTGATTCATTCCCAGGAAAGTGTCATGGCTGTGACATGGGATCCTTTGCCTGTTTGCCAGCCTTGGCCGTGGCAAGGGTGGGCATCTGTAAATATATAAAGGGGA